CCGCCGAACTGCAGATAGCAGTCAGCTGAAGTGGCCTGCAGTACTGCACTCTAACCACTGTGCCACCTCGGCTCTTAAACAATCTCCAGGCAACAAAGAGAAAGCATTGGGTGGCATTGGATTCCCATTTGGGTCTTTTCCTGGCACCCCTGATTTCAAGGGCCATCTCAAAAGAACTTACTGCTGCTTGAAGCTGCTCAGAAATGTCTCCATTGGAGAGGTCCATGTAGAGTAGGCCTCAGGCTGGACTATTGTTTCTTCTATGGGTCCCTGCTTTTCCCCTTGCCTTCTTCCTCTAGCACAGGACTGTGTGTTTTCCTGGCTGAGACCTACACTCTTCCATGTCACACAAGGTGTGCTTCAAAGCAGGGCAGGGACAAAAAAAACATGACTGATTTGATTTCTATTATATTTTAAATTTAATTCAAATAAAAAGCATTGAATGCCGTAAATTAACACAGAGTGCTTTGGTCATGCGTTTAACTATTTCTGTCTCTCTTCAAGTCAAATACGACCATTTTAATTCTCCGGTCGAGTAGACCTTCTGCTATAAGCCCAATTGATCCTTGGAGGGGCTGTGCAGGGCAAAGGCAAGGCACTGCTTCTGTGTCTCTCACTTTGGTCCCTGCTTGCAAACCGGAGCATCATAGAATCCTAGAGATAGAAAGCGCTACCTAGACCAGGGGTGTCAAACTCAAGGCCCGGGGGCTAGATCTGGCCTGTGATCTGGCCCACAGGGTGCTTAGATCTGGCCCGCTGGGCTGCCCTGGAAACAGCTAAGGACTGGCCCACGGTGCCTCTGCCAGTGAAAATAGAGCTCAGGAGGGCATGTGGCCCTCCCGAGCTCCGTTTTCACTGGCAGACGGTTGCAGGAGGCCATCACTGCTGAAAATGGAGCTCGCGAGGGCCACATGCAGCACTCCCGAGCTCCGTTTTTGCAGGCAGAGGGTTGCAGGAGGCCATCGCAGCAGAAAACGGAACTCAGGAGCCTGTTTTCGCTGGTAGAGCGCTCAGGCCATGACAGGCATCCCCGACATGGGTGATGTTGATCTGGCCACACCCAACCTGCCCACACACCCCCCAGCCCTAGACCATGACCTAGACCATGAAGAGCAGAGCAAGAATCCAAATTAAAGCATCATTGAAAGATAGATGACAAATGCAGCTGTGAAAACATTTCATGAAACTCACTGTCTCCCACTGTTCTTTTCAGTTTAAATCTGCCTTCCTCTAAACAGAAGCATATTCTTTATTGCCATGCTATCTAGGACCAAAGAGAAACACGCCTTTACTCTTTTCTTTGTGACACCCCTTCCAATACTTGAAAACTACCATCAGATTCCTCCGTGGTTGTTTTCTCTTCATGGTAAATATGAACATTGTGGTGGAATGTCATCTGGTGTCACGGGAAGAGAGGCTCCTTCCCAGAGGACAAAGAGACAGTGAAGCTTGGAATGTCTGGTAGGCAGGAAGATAGCAAAGTCAGACCCTCCCTAACAATTCACAGAGCATACATATATTATTCCAGATAATTGCTTTAGTCTGGCAAGATTCTGTTTGTAGGCAAGTAACAATAAAGGTACTACTCAAATGTAACTCCATGTTGTACTTGTTTCTTTGGGTCTGACGATATGCAGTTTCTTCTCTCATGAGAGTTAGACTCTAGTTCTCTGTCCATTGTCCTTGCACTTCTTTTGATCGGTCCCAGTTTCTCTCATTTTTTTCTTAATATGGAGTTCCAGAACAAAATGAACTATTATTTCCATGAGTTGAAAATCAGAAGAGAGAAAACTAATCTGTACCAGGAAGGAGAGAAGAGCAGGAAGTCAAGAGACCTCTGGCCTCAGCTTCTCCCTCTAATGCACTGTCACAATAGAGTAAGACCTAAAACTACATTTCAAGGCTCGCAGGGAGAACCAATAAGTCTGACTAATGTCCCATGTCAAATGATAACTTGGGAAAGTTGAAAAATCAATGGTTAAGATCAGGGATGGTGGTATACGCTTACCTTCCCTACCAGTTCGCAAATGTGAGCATGCGCCACCTCCACGCATGCGCAGATCCTTCCACGCATGCACTTTTGGTGAAAAAAAATGGCCTAAATGGGATGCCATAGAGCTGGGTGTTGGTGGGAGGAGCCACCCGTGATTTCCATTATTGGTTTGGGTGATCCAATCCAAACGGGTAGAATAACACCTCTGGTTAAAATGCTCTAGAAAGGGTCCGATGTAGGGGTGGGTTCTGGATTCTTTTACTGCCGGTTCGCTCAGGGACGCACTTCGGGTGTGCACATGCTTGTTGCGCGCTATGATGCATGCACAGTAGGTAAAGAAATTGCTTCTACGTGTGCGCAGAAACAAAAAACAAGATGCCGCCAATATAACCGGTTTGGATGCATGGGTGGCCGAGTTACTACCTACTCGGTTGAACCAGTCCGAACCGATAGGAACCCTCCTCTGGTCCCATGAACAAAAGTCCACCGTTATCCTTGTTGTTTTTTTTAATAAAACACAGGCCTCTAATGGTTTGGTTCTATTCCAAACGACTTGCTTATACGTAGTTTGTTCTATCCCTTAAAAAGCCAGTTAGGTTCCAGTAGGTCCTTTAAGCATTAAGGACAACAAACACACCTGTAGAATAAAGAGCCCAAGTGTTCATCGAACTGATCCTAATTACCAGAGAAAAGTATACCTATATGCCTTTCCCGCCGTCAGGAACGCCAAGGAAACTACGGACAAACCACTTTCTTGTGCCAGCTGGAACATGGCACCCTGAAGTTTCCAATCTCCCCCGGACTTCTCTTGACTTAAATAGTTTCTCATAAGTGGAGGAGGCTGATCTAATTTAACATCTGGAAAGGCCTGCTAACAACATTCCAGGGGAGGCGTCTTTTTTTTTTTTGGCCTCTGTCAACTCATCCTCCCTTTCGACAGCTACACATCTGTTCCTTACACCAATAAGGTTGAGATAAACAATGTAAGTCTAGGACAGCAGATCTCTGAGCATCAAGGTCAGTAGAAGACAAGGCTATTAGAAGGCAATGAAAAGAAATACGGAGTGCAGAGCCAAGCAAATAATACAATATGGGGTGGGATAGAAGGGAAAAAATTTAAGGTACCTGAGAAAAACGGATCACCCCACTATATCTCATTTCCATTTCTTCCGCACAAACGCTCTGATTATGTCTTGGACTCTCTGGGGTAGGAACAGAAGCACGCGCACAACCATCCAGTACCAACCAGTCAAGGGTGGGTTCTGGCAATCACTACTGTCAGTTCACTCGTGGGCGTGTGGGCGTACTTGATGCGCACTGTGCACACATGCGCAGTGCAATAAAAATTGCTCTGTGCATCCATAGAAGCAAAAAACAAGATGGCAATGCCTATGGCAGCGCCCGAAAAAACCAGTTCGGGGGCGTGGCAGGCCTGGGTCGTTGTCGTTTCCAGAGACCCAGGCCGCCAAACCACTACTGGTTCAGCCAAACCGGTCCGAACCGGTAGGAACCCACCACTGCAACCAGTATAGGAACCCACCCTGGCGTGCGCGCGCACACACACAAATCTAATAGCACTGATGTAAGAGTAGACAACTCCTGGATAACACCAGTTTCTGCGCCAGTGAGGAATTATGTGTTGTAATGCTCCCTTCTAATTTTAAAACAAGTTTATATTGCAGGAAGTATGTTTTGAAAGGAGCTTTACCCCCACCCTCGCTTCCCTTGCATTCTTACAGTACAGTATGTTTATATATACCAAATAAATAGTTTATTGGTCAGGTTACTCGGTGCTTCTGTTTCTCTGCCCATTTGGGGGGAGCAAGGTAACGTCTGAAGAGGCCAATTTGATTAGGTTTGTTTAACTTTTCTTCCTCTTCTTGCCTAATCTGGTTTTGCCTCCTGGAAGCCCAGAAATGCCAACAGAAGGTGGGGTGTTCTCAATATTTCTCTGGGGGTGATTTGCAACAATCAAAGCATCTCATTCTTCCCCAACAGGCCGCTGTACTGATTTGCAGATCCAGTTCACTGAAGCTGTCTCTGCAGTGGCCGACCAGAAAGACCTGATTGCGAAACTGGAGCATGATCTCACCACCATGCAGTCACTGTCTGCCATGCATCGCCCAGATGCTGAGGTTAGTCCCTGAAGAAGACAGTAAAGACAGGCAGCGAGGGACCATGTAGACCAGGGGTCTCGAACTCAAGGCCCAGGGGCCAGATCTGGCCCACGGGGTACTTAGATCCGGCCCATGGGCCCGGCCTGGAAACAGCAAAAGAGCTCCGTTTTTGCTGGTGGGGCTGCAGGAGGCTGTTGCGGGCCCCCGCACCCAGTTTTCCCCAGTAGAGTGCTATCAGAACAATCTAAAACAAAAAAACAAAAGGAGAAATGTTTCCCATTTTGCATTTGAGCGTGTAAGAAGGGACAGGAAAGGAGGAAGGGAAAGAGGAAAGAAAAAGAAAAAGATGGGAAGAGAGCAAGGAAGGAAAAAAGGAAAGAGGGGAAGAAAGGAGAAAGAAGAATGGAGAGGGAAGGAAAAAGAAAAGAAGGCAGGCAGGCAGGCAGGCAGGCAGGCAGGCAGGCAGGCAGGAAGGAAGGAAGGAAGGAAGGAAGGA